CTATTTTTCTTTTGTTCTATCTATCTATCTATCTATCTATCTTTCTGAGGACAGAATTAGAGAGAGAGAGAGAGAAATCTTTCATCTGCTGTTTCATTCTCAAAATGCCTACAATAGCCAGAGCTGGGCTAGACCAAAGCAAGGAAACTGGAACTCCATCTGGGTCTACCACGTGTATGTCAGGGACTCAAGTACTTGAGGCATCGTTGGCAGCCTCTCAGTTGTATTAGCAGAAAACTAAATTTGAAGTAGAGATGGAAGTAGAGACAGGACTCAATTCCAGGCACTCTGATGTGGGATGTGGGAACACACAGGCAGTTTAACCTGTGCACCACAATGCCTGCCCCTACAAAAATTTTTAATTATTGGTCATAAACTGACTTACATTATCCTTCTCTGGTTCCAGCTATAATTACTTTAATCATGTTTACTTAACTAAACTACATTTGCAGATTTTTTTAAAAAAACTTTTATGCATCAACACATATAGAATTAGAAAGAGCAGAATAATGATGTATCCTTCATCTGTCTTGTTTGAGGATGAACTAATGGCCAAACTTGCTTCCCAAATTCTCTTACTCAGTCCCATCCCACTTCCATATTACTTTTTTTTTTAAAAAGATTTATTTGTTTATTTGAAAGGCAAAGTTACAGAGAGAGAGAGAGAGAGGATACATACATACATATATATATTGAGAGAAAGATATATACCTATATCTATAGGTAGGTAGGTAGGTAGATAGATAAATAGATAATCCATCCACAGGTTCACTCCCCAAATGGCCAAAATGACTGGTGATGGTCCAAGCCAAAGCCAATAGCCAGGAACCTCCTCTAGGTTTTCCCTGTAAGTTCAGTTGCCCAAGGACCTAGGCCATCTTCTGCTGCTTTCCCAGGTGTATCAGCAGGGAGCTTGATCAGAATTAGAGCAGCCAGGACTAGAATCAGCACCCATATTGGATGCAGGCACTGCAGAGACGGCTTTACTCACGGGGCCACAGCACCACCTCTCCCTCCCACCATATTACTTTGAAAGTCAAGTTTATGTAAGTACTGTCTTCATTCAATAAAATCCTTAATTTTAAGTATATAGTTGTATGAATTTTGACAAGGTATACAGTTACATAAGCCATCAAGATATCGATTCAAAACTTTTCCCATCACATTCATATTTTCTTTCATATTCAATTTCCTGCCTTCACCCCTGTTCTTTGTTAATACTATTCTCTGCCCTTACAGTTTTGCCTTGGTAAGAATGTAATATAAATGTAAATATAAAATATATAGTCTGGAAATTAATTTGGCTTTTTTCACTCAGCCCAAGGCTTTTGAGATCCATCTATGTTGCATTAAATACATGTAATTTATTACTTCTATTGCCAAAGAGTATTTCATGTATGACAGAACCCTCACAGTTTATCCATTCATTACCTGATGGATATTTATATTTTCCAGATTTTGCTAAGTGTCAATTGAGCTACTCTGACCTTTCACATACAGATTTTTGTGGTGATGTAAATGTACCATTTTTATTGAGTAAGTACTTTAGAGATTGATGGGTTATGCTTTACATAGAGATATAGATACAGATATAGATATAGATGATACAGATATCTTTAAAAGAAATCGCCAGTGTTTTCCAAAGTGGCTGAAGCATTTTGCATTTCCACCAGAAGCATGTTAAATGTTCAGACATGCTGTATTCACAGCAGCAATCAAAAAGGAAGGCACTGGGATCTCATTGTTGTTTTAATATGAATTTTCCTAATAAATAATGATGTTGATAATCTTTTATTGTGCTTGTTTGCCAACTGTATCTCTTTTTTATTGAAGTGTTCAAATATTTTGGTTATTTTAAATTATCTGTTTTATTAATATTGAGCTTTGAAAGTTTTTATATAACATTACCAGACATGTATTTTCCAAATATTTCTCCTGTTCTGTGAATTATCTTCCTCTTCTGAATGTCATTCAAAGAGAAGATTTTTTTAAAAACAACTGGTTAAGTATATTTTGTCCATTTTTAATTTTCATTCATTTTTGTGTCTATAAAACCTAATTCTCTTCTATGTGTTTTACAGTTATTTCATAGTTGTATGTTTCATATTGAGATCTACTTAATTTTGTTTATAGTGTGAGATATGATCCCAGACTCTTCTTTTTTTGCATATAGGTAAACAACTATTCCATACTACAAGTACAAAAAAGCTATAAATTTTTCATTAAATTTCCTTGGTACTTTTTTAAAAAAACTCAATTGGTCATAGACGTATGGGTATTACTTCTAGAATCTCTATTTTCCACTTAGCTATACATGTTTAACCTTTCACCCATGTCTCCTGTTTGACTAATCAAGATTTATAATGTTATTGACAGCTTATTGTGTGAGTCCTCAAACTTTGGTCACCCTTTTCAAACTTTTTTTTATTTATTATAAGTCCTTACTGTTCCTATATAAATTTTGGATTCAGCTTGTCATCTTCTACATTAAAACCTTCTACTGTTTGTATGAGAATTACATTGAAATTATCAACTCAATTTAAGGAAAGTTGGAAAGCTACTATCTTGACAATATTGTGTCTTCCAAATCATGAATATGAAATATTTCTCTGTCTAATATTTAATTTATTTCAGCAGTTATTTTTAAGTTTTTTGTACACCTTGCACATTTGTTAAAATTATTCCTAAGTATTTTATTTTTTGTTGCTGTTATTAAGAAATTCCCTTGAGCAGCAGCCTTTAACCCCTACCTTATCTATTTGTCCACTGTTTTCTTGCTTCGGTATGTTCAATAAATCTAGCTCTGTTCACTAAAGAAAAGCATTGTCTTAAATTCATTTTTGATTATTCTTTGGTGATATGAAAAACGATCTATTTTTGTGTATATGTCTTGTATCTTGCAACTTGATAAATGTCACTTCTTAATTCTATTAGATTTTTTGTGAATATTCCACCAGATTTGCTACTGTAGACTGTCATGTAACCTAGAAAAAAGAAAATTCTACTTCTTATATTCCATATGATATCCTTTACTTCTTGTCTTATTATATTGACCAGAAACACCAGCATGATACTGATCAGGAATGATGATGGCGATCTTTCTCTTGTAGATTGAGTTTGGAGTATTTCCTCCTCCTCTGCTGCACAAAATATTTGTGAATGATTGGAATATTTTTTCTTTAAATATTGGAAATAAATTGCAATAAAGCTAAGTAAGCCTAAGTCCCACATTGTGGTAAGAATTTAAGCTACCAATTCTTTTTTTTTTTTTACTTATTTGATAAGTAGAGTTACACAGTGAGAGAGAGAGAGACAGAGAGAAAGGTCTTCCTTCCATTGGTTCACTCCCCATGTGGCCACTATGGCAGGCACTGCACAGATCTGAAGCCAGGAGCCAGGTGCTTCCTCCTGGTCTCCCACGCAGGTGTAGGTGCCCAATCACCTGGGCCATCCTCCACTGCCCTCCCGGGCCACAGCAGAGAGCTGCCCTGGGAGAGAAGCAGCCAGGACTAGAACCAGGTGCCCATATGGGATGCCGTCACCACAGGTGGAAGATTAGCCAAGTGAGCCATGGTGTCAGCCACTTTTTTTTTCCTTTTAGTAGATCTACTCAGATTTTCTCTTTATTTTTCATGTCATTTTTATAATTTGCATATGTCTTGGAATTTGTCTGTTTCTTTTTTTTTCTTCCTACTTGTTTAATCCCAACTTTCTGTCTGTCCGCCACCCTTTGGATAATTTCCTGGGAACCTTTTATTGAACACTTCCCCGGTGTCAGCCACTGTAAAAGCCACTTAACAGACATCACCTAATTCACACAAAAGTCCTCCTACCGCATACCGAGTGCTGTCTCTATAGACAGAGGAGACACTGGGGTAAAATCAGAGTGATGTGTGCAATGTCCACACTAGGGCAGCCTGCTAGTCCGTGAGCAGGACCACTCTCAAGTTCTGCCTGTGGCTCCCCCCACCGCTCCTGGATGGCATCCGCCCGTCTGAAAGACCTGGTGGCCAAGGACTGAAGTGCTCATCCAGCCCTCGGCGCTGTCAGTGTGTCCCATAGGGCAGAAGACTCTCCCCATTTCAAGGTCACTCCTACGCAGGCAGGCGCGTCCTAGGCCCCCTCCTCCAATGCACCCTCTGGGGCTCCCTGTGGTGGGGGAAGTGTCCCCAGAGTGGGGCAGCCTGCATCAAAGCCATCAGGGACCCCTGCTGAAAATGCAGACCCCCAGGCCACTAGAGTCCGCTTCACCAGGTCTGAAGAGGGGTCGGGTTCTGCCCACCCCCGACCTCATTGTGAGAAGAAACTGCTGAGGGGCTGGCACTCCTCCCCCGAAGAGGCATCAAAGGGAGGAGTTAAAGAACCATGAAAGCCCTGCCGGGTATCCCAAGGCCGGTGGACCCCAATCGGCCCGAAGCAGGAGCCTGCGGCCTGGCCCCTTAGGGCTCCCCGCCGCCTCCCGGGCCCGCAGCCCACCCGGTGCCCAGATTCTCAGCACGGGCTGGGCGGGGCGGCGGCCTCCCCAACTGACCTGCGGCCGGCCTGGCCCTCTGCACAGCGGCCAGACGCCGTGGGGCCTGATGCGGAAGTTGGAATTTGTCGGTTTCATTTAAAGGCATGAAGTTGCTTATATTGTCTTACACTCCTTTTAATATTGATGGGTATAATAGCAATGCCCTTTCTTTCATGCCTGAATTTGGAAAATTTTTGTCTTTTCTGATTTTTTTTTCTCTTGGTCAGTCTAGCTGAAGTTTTATCAATCAAAATTTTTTTTTCTAAATACAATTTCGGAGCCATTTTTTCTCAATAGTTTTTAAAATTAAACTGATAATCTCTGCCCTTGATTGGCAGTAGTCTACACTCACTTAATGTAATTACTAAATTACTAATGATTTATTCCTATATCCAACAACTAGACACACCCAGAGATATTTTCATTTAGTACTTCAAAGTCACACTTTATTTCTTTTTTTTAAAGAATTATTTATTTGAAAGTCAGAGTTACACAGAGAGAGAATGAGAGGCAGAGAGAGAGAGAGAGAGAGAGAGAGAGGTCTTCCATCTGCTGCTTCCCTTCCCAATTGGCCGCAATGGCTGGAGCTGTGCCAATCCAAAGCCAGGAGTCAGGACATTCCTCCAGGTCTCCCACATGGGTGCAGGGGCCCAAGGACTTGCGCCATCTTCTACTGCTTTCCCATGCCATAGCAGGAAGCTGGATCAGAAGTGGAGCAACCGGTCTTGAACTCGCACCCAAATGCGATTCTGGCACTGTAGGCAGCAGCTTCACCCACTACACCACAGCGCTGGCCCCATCACACTTCATTTCTTTGTATGTCTCATAATTCCTGTAAAATCGAAATGTTCAGTGACTCTGAATTCTGATGTTTTCCTGTGTGTTTTTATCATCACAACTTCTTTCCCCTTGTGAGTCTGATTCTGTTGCCCAGTAGGTAGCATCTGTCACCACCATCATGTGTGGTTGCTGGTGCTTCTGCTGAGTGTATTTTAGATTCTTATTTTTAAATTTAGCCCTACTTCCTGGAAAGCACCCTGTTTCTAAAGACTTTGGTGACCAGTCAGTGATTAACCAGTGACTGTGGTCAAACATCTCTGCCACAGGCTTCTGCTCTCCCTCAATGGTTGTGACTGTAGTGTGGGGAGAACAAGGCTCAGGCAGTTTTCAAGTCTGCCACTGTTGCTATTTTCTTTTAGAAAATCTCAGGTCTCCTTTGTATGTGACCAGAACACCAATTGGCCAGGGTGCACAGAAGCAAGATCTTTCATTGCTTTCTCAGGTCAAGGATTTCCCTGTTGAATTTCTGACTTAGTCCTCTGGCCTGCCACTCACCGAACTCATCGACCTAAGGCTAGCAGGGCTGTAGGTTGAATTCTGTTCTGTTCTTGCTGAGTTTACTACTTTTACGAACAATACTTCCAAAGTAAAGTAGCTCCCTCTGATAGAAAGCTGTTGGTTTTAGAGCAAGCTGGAGTCTGGCAGAAGCCACTGCAGGTGAGTCAGTTACATAATGTCACTGTTCTTACCCAAAGCTCAGCAGTTCTTCATTAACAAACCCTTCTTGGTTTGTTGATTGCTTTTGGTTAGTTTCAAGAGCCCATAGTAGATGTGTCTGACAATTTTTTCCAGTTTTTATGTTCTTTGTTTGAGGCAGGATTTATGGAACTCCTTGCTATAACAAAGATAGAAATCCTGCCTACATTTATCAATTAATTAATTATGCTGTATAACGTTGGGTTTTTAACATTTTGTCATGAAAAATAATGTTTTCTGGAGGTATTTTTGTTTTTGTTGATATGTACTATTAAAAATAACTCCTGTTCTTAGTTGATTTTTGTCAAGATTGGATGCTGCTTTATCAAATATTTCTTCAACTTTTATGTTCATATTGTCTTTAAATTTTTATTTTATTAACATTTGTAATTGTACTGTATGTTCTCCAAATATTAAGCCAATCTTGTATTCCTAGAATAAACTCAGTTTGGTCAAAACACATCATACTGTGGTGTATGTAACTGGGTTCCTATTATAAATATCTAGTTTAAGATTTTTTTATCTATATTCATGAATGTGATTAGTTTGAAATTTTAGTATTTTGTGATGCCCATGACAGGTTTTTTTTTCAAAGTTAGTCTGGCTTCAAAATATGTTGGGTATTGTTTCTAATTTTTCCATTTTTGGAAGGTTTCATAAAAGATGTAATTCATATTTTATCATATTTCCTATTAAATATTTTTAAAGATTTACTCATTTATTTGAAAGGCAGAGTTAGAGAGAGAGGGAAAGAAAGAGACCAAGAGATCTTCTGTCTGCTGGCTCACTCCCTAGATGGCTACAACAGCCAGAGCTGGGCCAGGCCAAAGCCAGGAAACTCCTTCTGAGCCACTCATTCATTCATTCACTCATTCATTCATTCACTCACTCACTCACCCGCCCAGGAACCCAGCCCAGCCCGCCTCCACGCAGTGTCCGGGGCGGGGGCCAAGGAGGGGCCCGTGGCCCTGTAGCCCCGCCTGAACCGACCCACCCCCGCCGACATTTCCGCCCGGCTCCGGGACACATTCCATGGTTTGCAGCTGACTGGCCAGCTCCTCAGAGCCTCAGATGTGGGCACAGTGGGCAGCGGCCGAGGGCCGGGAGACAGAGCACCCCGACCCCCACCCCAGCGCCGGCACACAGCAGGGGATGCGGCGGGTGGCACTCGGATGGGCACGGGGACGCCAGCCCACCTAAACCTGGACATGGCTCCCTACGGCCTCGCCCACCCACCCTCAGCTCCATCCCACCCCAGGGCCTTTGCACAGCCGTGCCCTCGGCCCCCAGACCTCAGACCCTCTGCCAGCACCCCCTCCTCAGCGCTGGTCCCGTGCCCACGAGCCCCCGGCCTGGCTGCAGATTCACAGCAGAGACTCCTGGGGGGTCTGACCACAGCGCCCCCGCGTGCCCGTCCTGCAGATCCAGCCTGGGCAGCGGCCTCGCGGCGGGCAGGGGAGACCAAGGCTGGCAGTGGCCAGTGCCTGTACTTAGCCCCGCGCGCCCGCGCTCTCGTTTCCTCCGTGGGCCCCCCCACGGAAAGGACAAAGCCACGAAGTGGCTCTCGAGGCCACGCTGGCTATGGGTCCTGTTTTCCCACCCTGGATCCTGGCTAGCCCAGTGTAGACGCTGCTCCTGTAGATGCCACGGCACCACTGGGCTGGAATGCCTCCCTCCCGTGACAGGGACGCACAGCGAGGCTGGCATGGCCCTGGCGGGGACGTGTCCCCTCCCCGGCCCCAGGGCAGCCACGCTGTGCTGGGGGCCTGGTGGGGGGGTGACGCAGCTCAGGGCTCCTGCAGAGGGCTGAGAAGGGGCGAGCATCCAGGTGCTCCCAGGCCACACCTCTGCAGACCCCTGCAGAAGTGCGCCCCTGGCTCGCTGGCAGGGGGGGGGGCATAATCCCCCTGGAACTGGAACTCGAGCCCGGGCTTCTGCTTTGGGGCCGCCCTGACCCCCTCCCCGCTCTGCTCCAGCCACGCTGGCCTCCTGGCTCCGTGCTGCCCCAGGGCCTTTGTACTGGCCGTGTTTTAGCCCCCGTTTCTCTTTGTCCATTTTGCCAGCTGCCGGGACTCCACTCTGTGGTCGCCCAGGCCCACGAGGGCCCCTGCCCCCTGCTACCCCCACCTGCCCTTCTCTTGAGCACCCAAGATGCGGCTGGGATACAGTAGGCATATGATAAATGCTGGCCAAGGGGAGACCAAGAGCTGAAGCTGACCCCGGAACTCACACCGGGGACTGGGGACACCCACACCCACCCGGGGGCTGCAGGGGACAGGGCCCCGGAGCCACGGCCGTGAGACCCAGGCCGCTTCCCGAAGGGGCACAAGACCGGGCCCCCAGCCGCAGGCTCTGAGTCCCCGGGTGGACGGCCCGGGCCTCTCCCGGCCCCCAGCTTGGCCCCACGGCCCCCAGCCGGACCCGGAATCTCCCTCCCCCAAGTCGCAGTCCCAGCCCCCAGGGCTATGGCCTGGCCCCCTAGAAGTCTGGAAGGGCGCCCAAGCTTAGCGGAGCTGCCCCAGCCCTGCTCCACGCCACCGCCCCCGGCCCTGCCTGGAGCCCCAGGGGGCCGCCTGCCCACAGACCCCTCCCGGGCCTCAGGGGCCCAGCCGAGCCAGCCACACGGCCCCGGGGCCACAACGCCGGCCCACGTGGGCCCAGCACCCACTCACCATCCACCACATCTTGGCCTTCACGTGGTAGCACAGCTCTCACTTCACCGCGGCCTCTCCAGCTTTGCTGGGCACTGGGGCACCCAGCACCTCCATGCTGGCGCAGGACGCCTGGCCAACCCTACCCCCGCCCGGCCGCGGGCTCCGAACGCGCGGTCCGCATGGCCTGGGACCCACGGAGCTGGAGGGGGAGAGGGAGAGAGAGATGGGGGGGGCGACTGTGATGGGAGCTCCCTAGGGTCGGTGAGTGGCCATCCATGGCACCGGGATGCATGGGTGGCCGCGGTTCTGATTGGGAGCAGGCCCCCGCCCCCGCCCCCTGGAGGAGCAGCTGCTCCCAGCCCCGCTGCCCACTCACCAGCTCCTGTGTCTGGCCAGGCTCCCAGGGCCCGTGGAGCCGCCGGACCCCTCCCACCACCTCCCATGGCCCCTTCCTGGAGGCCAAGGGCCGGGGCCTGGGGAGGGGGCGCCCTTCGCGCAGGGAGGAGGGGCCAGGACCCCGGGCTGCAGGTGCTGAGGCGGCCATGCATGCATGGGGCGCCAAGGGTGTGCTCGGCCTGCAGGGCAGGACCTCAGGGACTCCGGGGGCTCTGGAGTGGCCTTGGCTGCCTCTGCGTTGGGCAGCGGGGCGGCCACGGGGCTGGGAGGGGTGCGGCTGGCAGCTGGAGGGCGCCCCCTCCTCCAGTGCCCACCCCGCGTTGCGACTCCCCCAGGAGGGCGCCTCCTCCCTCGGGCCCGGGGACTCCCACGCGAGCTCCAGAGCTGGCCCGCAACCGGCACTGGCGAGGAAAAGCCTGGCGAGCCGCTGGTGCCCGGGACAGCGCAGACGCGGCGCCTGTGGGACTCCTTGCGGAGGCCCCGCCCCGCGCCATCATTTGCCTCTGAGCCTCCTGGCCACTGCAGAGGACGACTCCTGGGCTGTGCGGGATCCAGGGCTGTGCGGCACCCAGGGCTGTGCGGGTCCCGGGGCCGTGCGGGTCCCGGGGAGGCAGGGACGAGGCGGGAAGCGGACGCGGTGGGTGGGAGAGGAGGGGAGAAGGGCGGAGGCCGCGGCCGCCCCCTCTCACCCGAAGCCCCCCCTCCCCGGGCGCATTTACACCCGCGGAGGCCGAGGCCCAGCGGCCGGGCCGGGCAGAGTGAGGACCCAGGCCCGGAGTGTCGCCCGCGCCGCGCGTTCCCCCGCGTCAGGGCTCCCGCACGCTGCCCGGGGAGACCGCGAGCAGTGCTTGGTAGGGAGGTGGGCGGGCGGACCACACTCTGCTGCCTGAAGCCCTTGAGGGGCGGAAGTCCCCAGGGCCGCGCTCAGGGCCCGGGGTTCTAATGGCGCCCGGACTGAACGCAGGCCCAGAGCAGATCACAGGGTGGGCAGAGGTTTGATTAAAGAGAGGACAGCGCCAAGTGCGTCCCACATGGGCGCGAGTTCGAGTCCTGGCCGCTCCTCTTCAGGTCCAGCTCCCTGCTGTGGTCTGGGAAAGCAGTGCAAGATGGCCCAGGTCCTTGGGCCCCTGCACCGGCGTGGGAGACCCGGAAGAAGCTCCTGGACCCTGGCTCCTGATAGGCGAAACTGTGGACAGCTGGGGAGTTAACCAGCAGATGGAAGACCTTTCTCTGTCTCTCTCTCTCTCTCAACTCCCACTTCCAAATCAATCTCTTTTAAAAAAAGTCAGATCACGGCCAAAAATTCCCAGCCACAGACCCCAGAAGCCGCGGACACGTGGACGGCGGAGGCAGGAGAGAAACTTCTGGGAGGTGGGGTGGGGGACTGCGGTGGGCACTTGGTGGGGGAGTGTGCTCCGCCGGGACCCCAGCCCCCTCCCAACCAGGGCCCCACCCGGACCGGGAGCCCGCAGGGAGGTCGGGGGTGACCACGGCCAGACAGGTCCTGGCGGGGCAGGTGTGCAGTGGGGGCAGAGAAGGGGCAGGTGCACAGCGGGGACCAGGGGCTCCTCCCCACCCCGGGCCGGCCCAGGGCCCTTTGGGGGAGGGCAGCGGAGGTGTCGATGGGCGGGGTTGGCTTCCTTGCAACTCAGGCATCGTGGGGCTGGAGCCGGTGTGGCCGGGGCCCGACCGCCGGCCTCTCTCTCCCCGGCTCAGGATGCGCTGGATGGCGGCCCCCGGTGACCACAGGCCCGCAGCCGGCTCTGCTCAGCCTCAGCCAGGGAATGGATGCCTGGGCCCTTTAAGGAAATGCTGGTGGGGCCGCGGGGAGGGCCCAAGCCCCCTCCTCAGGGTGTGAGCCACTAACAGCCCTGGAGCCCACACAGCCAGGGCATGCGGATCCCCCAGGCTCAGCTGGCGGGGATGCTTCCAGAATGTTCCACACAGCCACAGCAGGACGCACGTCCCTGTCAAGTCAGCATAGCCTTGCCCGGAGCCGCCCCCAGCCAGACTCCCCCTCCCCCTCCTCCAGCCTCAGCTTGTCTGTACAATGGCCTAATGGAACCTCCGCCAGACGGGCTGGGCCGTGATCATGTACTTGTTCTCCCACTCAGACTCGCGCGGCCGTGGCGGCCCCGTTCCTGCACTGAGCTCCGCGTCCCAGCAGGACCAGCGTGGACTCTGCGTTCTTGCTTGAGGACGCAGACACTAGGCGAATTCCACGCAGCCCTGTTCACATGGCCATGAACCCTGCCTGGAGGGCCCCCTCCGGGCCCGGCCACCACGCATGGAAGCCGGCACGGCTCCCTCGCTTTCGCGTCCCCTGCGGGGAGACATTTTGGTTAATGTTAAGTTTGTCCACGCTCTCCAGCAGACAGGGCCCGACTCCGAGGCTCGCGTGCCCTCTGCTGTCCACCGCGGGGAGCACAGGCCGGGCCGGGCAGGTGCGCGCCCAGGGGAGGGGAGAAGTGGCGCGCTCGGGACCAAGTGCGGCCGCAGAGCGACAGGACCTGGCGGTGGACTGGACCTGGAGCTGATCCGGAACCAGAGGCGCCCCGGACAGCAGCCCCGATGCTGTGACGGGCAGAGATCAGCGCTTGTACCCGGGGGCGGGCTGAGGGCCTGGGCTCCGTCCTGAACCGGTTCGCAGGCTCCCTGGAGCTGTCCGCGACCCCCGGAACAGAACACTTTGGCGGGCAGTGTGCGCCCACCGCGCCTGCCAGGATTTCACTCAGGGCGGCAAAGCCATCTTGGGGTCAGGGAGGGTACTGCGTCTTTAAGGATAACTTCAGACGTCACTCCTGACGTCACAATCGCCTAGGCTCTGAAGAGGAAGGCAAGTCCTGGCTGTGGGTCAGCTGGCGGCCTCAGGAATATGTAGATCATCCCCACCTCCTCTGCGCTCTGATAGGATCGGGAAACAGAGGGTGCGGAGAGGAAGCGGGGCTGGGTGGAGGGATGGGGCGGGGCGAGGCGCGGGCTCAGCTCCTGATACCAGCTTCCAGCCTATGCAGAGCCAGGGGAGCTCAAGTAGGTGGATTCCTGCTACTCAAGTGGGAGATCTAGAGTGATTTCCCGGCTCCCAGCTTCAGCTGTTGCGGGCATTCGGGGAGTAGACCGACAGATGGGAGGTTTCTCTCTCTCCCTCTCCTCTCTCCCTCTCCAATAAAATAAAAATCTAAAGAGAAATAAAACCTGAAAAATTCCCAAATTTGGTCAAAGCTTCAAGAGGCAGGATACAGTTTCAAACAGAATAAACCAAAGACAACCATGTCAAGAAACAGCATAATTAATCTGAAAACTGAAGCCAAAGAAAAAATTTTGAAAGCAACCAGAGTAAAGATCACATATTTATAAAGGAAACACCCAAGTGAATACTGTGGATTTCTCTTCTAAAACCATGGAGGCTTAGAAGAAGTTGCAAAACATGTTCTAGTGTGGAATGGAAAGAACTATCAACAGTGAACTGAAAATATCTTTCAGGAATCTTGAGAAAATAAAGAAAACAGGGGGCCGGCACCGCGGCTCACTTGGCTAATCATCCACCTGTGGCACCGGCACCCTGGGTTCTAGTCCCATTTGGGGTGTCGGATTCTGTCCCAGTCGCTCCTCTTCCTGTCCAGCTCTCTGTTGTGGCCCGGGCAGGCAGTGGAGGATGGCCCAGTTCCTTGGGCCCTGCAGCTGCATGGGAGACCAGGAGGAAACACCTGGCTCCTGGCTTTGGATTGGCTGCAACGTGCCGGCCATAGTGGCCACTTGGGGTGGGAACCAACGGAAAAAGGAAGACCTTTCTCTCTCTCTCTCTCTCTCTCTCTCTCTCTCTAACTCTGCCTGTCAAAAAAAATAAATAAATAAATAAATAAAAAGAAAAACCAACCCTTAAAGAACAGAAGGAAATGTTTAGAATGATAAAAGAAGGCTTGGAACTTCAGAAAACACCACCAAAATGGGCAAAAACAGGAGTAAATATGATTGTCTACCACTCTCATTTTACAACACGTTCTCTGATGTGGTTCTCTGTGTACGTACAAGAAATACTAAGGATAATTGAATTTTAAAATTGGAGAGGTTAAGAACTTCATTTCTTACACTTGAAGTGGCAAAACAGTGGTGCAAGGAGACTGTGATAAATTTTATATATATATATATATATATATATATATATAGCATAACATCTAAAGCAATCACTAAGGAAACTATACAAAGCAGTATGTTAAAAAGTACTGTAGGGGGCAGGTGTTGTGGCACAGTGGGCTAAGCCACAGTGTAGATCACTGGCATCCCTTTAATTGTTGAAGTGTCAGTTGACTACTCTGCTTCTGATCCAGCTTCCTGCTAATACACCTAGGAAGGTGGTGGGTAACTGCTGTTGTACCTGGATCCCTGCCACCCACTTGGGATACCTGGGTGAAATTCCAGGCTCCTCCCTTTCCTGGCTTTGGGATGGCACAGACCTGGCAATTATGGGCATTTGGAGAGTAGAACCAGTGGATGAAAGATCTCTGTCTCTGTCTCTCTCTGTGTCTGTCTCTGTCACTCTGCCTCTAAATAAATAAATCTTTTAAAACATACTATAAACAAATCAATATGGAATTGTGAAAATTGTCCAAGTAACCGCCAGGAAGGTAAGATGCAGAGCACCGAGAAACAGAAGAAACATACACACTTAGAAAAATAACAAAATGGTTGACCTAAGCCCCAATATATCAACAATTTTATTAAAGGCAGATGATATAAGTTGCCAACTGAATCACAGATTGGCAAGTTGGATTAAAAATGATCCAACATTATGTTGTCTCTGAGAAACTCACTTCAACATGATACAAGTAGATTGAAAATAAAAGGTTAAGGAAAGATAGGCCGTGCAACTATTCATCAAAAAAGCAGGAGTGGCTGTGTCTATAGCAGATAAAAAATGCTTCGGAACCAAGAAAATTGTCAGAGTCAGAGGGAGATACTACATAATGACAAAAGGATCAAGTTACCAGAAAGACATAATGATGCTGAAAATAAATATGTCAAACACAGAACCTCAAAAAAACATGAAACAAAAAACTGATAGAGTTGCAAGGGGACAAAGTGAACTTCAGAATTACAGTTGAGGCTTTCAAAAACCCACTGTTAGTGACTGACAGAACTATTGGTCCCCAAATCAGCAAGGATACAGGGTGAACTGTGAACAGGATTTAACCGAAATATTTAGAGAATACTCACCCTGACAGTAGCAGAATATACTTTTGATTTTCAAGCATCCATGGAACATTCCCCATAATCTGGATTATAAAACAAACCTCAAAAATGTAAAAGAATTGAGTGATGGAGTATATTTTATGAACATAATATGATCAAATGGGGGATCAGTGACCAACAGACAACAGAAGTATCTTGATATTTGGAAACCCGACAATAAAGTTCTGAATAATCCAGAGAGAAGATCCCAGAGGAAATATGAAAACAGAACCAAATGAGAATGAGCACACAACACACTCAATTACGTGGGATGCAGTTAAAGCAATATGAAGAAGATGCCAGTTCTCAAATTAACCTATAGATTCAATGCCATGCCATTCAAAATTCCTGCAGGGTTTTTTTTTTTTTTGAGGGGGGTAGAAATGAATAAGCATTTTCAAGAGTTTTATGGGTAAGCAAAATGTGGGGAGCAACTGGGAGCAACTCGGACTAGACTAAGTTACTGGAATTAAGACTTATTCTATGCATCTGCTCTCCCACAATATGGCGCTGGGAGAGGAGGAAACAGCTTCTACACAGCTGCCTCCAGTTCAACCAATAAACTGTAGGACCTGCTCCTGATTGGAGGAGAGCAGCATACTTGGCGTGTGGGTAGCAGAGTTGGGATTGGTGGAAGAGGACTATAAAGGAGGAGAGAGACAACATGCACCAGGAACATCTATCTGAAGGAACACCTGTGCAGCCCCCGAGAGAGCTGGCCGGCGGTGTGCTGCTCCCCTGCGGAAGTGGGGAAAGTGGCAGGGGGAACCGCCCTTCCACGGAGGTGGAAGGGTCGGTAGCCAACCCGGGAAGAACCAGCAGCAAACCTGGGGAGGGCCGAGCAGACAAAAGAACAGCGCAGGGTCCTGTGTCGTTCCTCCACGAAGATGGGGAGCGACAGCAAAAGATCTGGAATAACCAGCATGATTTCTTAAAAGAGCCAAATAGAGTCCAGAACTGGAGCCACACGTGAATGGTCAATTGGTATTGACAAAGGTGCCGAGATGGGAAAAGGCCAAGTTCCCACAAATGGTGCTGCATCACCTGATGTCCAAGGGCAAACACGGCCATGAGCCCTTACCTCATGGCCTCACACACGCTAACTCACCATGGATCCTGGCCCTTAGGTAAAACCCCAAACTTGAACATTTCTAAAAGGAGACATACTCATCGAATGTAATCTTTGTATACTTGGGACAAGCAAAGGTTTCTTGGATAAAACATAAAAGACACGAACCAGCTGTTTCACCCCAAGAAAGAGCACTGTTCTCCTGGGCCCTCACCCCTGATCGCTTTCTCTTGTGCTGTCACCATGGGAGCAGTGAGACTAAGATCAAACACCAGGGTGTGGCTCAGGGGAACCCGGGTGTTGGATGTCAGCCAGCACCTGCCATGCAGAGTAGGGCCAAGCCGAGCTGAGATCCACAGCACAGAGGCCTGGTCATGGCTTTCATTTCTCCTTGTTCTTATTCTTTTCCTGTCTCTCTAGGTTTAGTTTGTTAAGTTAGGTTTTCACCAGAGTAAACATTGGAGGGAAACTACCTTTAAAAAAAAAAAAAAACATTTATTTATTGATTTAAAGTCAGAGTTACAAAGAGAGAGGGGGAGACAGAGAAGGAGAGCTCTTCCATCTGCTGGTTCACTCTCCAGATGGCCATAAAGGCCAGTGCTGGGCCAGGCCAAAGCCAGAAGCCAGGAACCAGGAGCCAGGAACCAGGAGCCAGGAGCTTCTTCTGGGTCTCCCACATGGGTGGCAGGGGCCCAACTACTTGGGCCATCTTTCCTTGCTTTTCACAGGCCATTAACAGGGAGCTGGTTGGGAAGTTGAGCAGCCAGGACACAAATTGGCACCGATTTGGGATGCCAGTGTCACAGCTGATGGGTTTACCTGCTACACCACAATGCTGGCCCCAGGGGAAAATATCTTACAAACAATGATGTGTGGAGAAAGCAAGTTCCAAAAGGATATGTACAGCAGGGTATATTAAAACCATATACTGCTAGATTTTGCTTAGGAATAATAAGGGAGTGGAAAAGGCAGAGATGAGAAAGATGCCCCCCAAAGTGGATTGGCAGCTACCTCCATGCTTGGAAAGAAGGAAAGGACAGTGTGCATGGGGGAACTATTAATTTATTTCTTTGAAAAAAAGAAACTTACCTAAAGCAGATATAGGTTATATAAATAATGTTTAAGTGGTAAATACACACATGCCTGTTTTACTACTTTCTGTGTATAAATATACACATACAAGTGAACCATTTCATAATTTAAAAATTGCTCTAAAAAAGACATTTTCTTACACTTCCAACTATCAAATTTATACTGCATTCTTCTCTTGAAATGGCGAACAGAGAAAATGAAAATACTTACTTGGCTTAGAATATGACTTCAGATGTTCAAATTCGGGTTCATCATAGATATTTTGCAATGATCCATGGTTAATTTGCTGAGGCACATCTTTTTCAAGAGACCAAATAGATGCTGATTCATGAATTGTCTTCTGCTCGTTTTTTCACGTT